CTGCTTCAGAGGGTAAAATTTGGCCCTCGAAACTTTCCAAACCGAACCATAAGTTTGACTAATGGATAAAACAGAGGCCAGGATGTGTGTGTGTGTGTGGTGGTCTTACTCAATCATAATGGAGTGATGACGGGATGGGTTTGAAGCAAAGCAGACATACGCAATATGAACTGACAAAAGTATAGTGTGTGTTAAAACCAATGATACATCTTGCCCAGGATTTATGCATATAACTAATGCTGGGTTTCAACTAGATTTTCTTAAAAATACAGTAAACAATCTTTCATTTTCCACTGAGCAGTTTAACTTTCCTTTTCTCTGTCTGTTTTTTTTTTGTTGCAGTTTCCCCACTCTTTCTAGAGATTAATTTGTGCTCTGAAACTGTTCAATATGCCAGGTACTGTATATGATACAATGGAAAAACTTTGCTGGTGACAGGAAATTATAGAGGCGTGAAAGAGGGAACATTTTCAGAAATAAAAAAGCTAATAAATCATTTGTTGTAATTGCAAATTGGCTTATGCTAATAAAATATTACTTTTTTATTTAACATTTTCAGAAATAAAAAAGCTAATAAATCATTTGTTGTAATTGCAAATTGGCTTATGCTAATAAAATATTTCTTTTTTATTTTAGATTTGTACATTTTAGTTTTACTGATAAAAAATGTAAATACCACAATGGGTTAAGTAAGCTTATTTTTTAATAAAACTAATGCTTTTATTTAACAAGATGGTTTAAATTGATAAATCAAAAGACTTTCAAATATTTCAAATGCTGTTCTTTTGAACTTTCTATTTATCAAAGAATCCTGAAGAAAGAAAAAAAAATCACAGCATTGATAATAATAATAATAAATGTTTCTGTAGCACCAAGTCATGTTGAAGTGTTTGGGATGTGGCTTTTAATGATGAGACCTTTTTTGTAATCAGGCTCTCAAAAAGTATATAACAATTTGGATATAGATTTATCGGCCAACATATCGGTTATCGGCTTTCAAAAATAAAGAATAATCGGTTATCGGTATCGGCCAAAATTTTCATATCGGTGCATCCCTATTAAAATAGAAAACAGTTTTGTTGTTAATGAGTAACAATATTTCACAATATTACCCTTTGAACCTTATTCTTGATCAAATAAATGCTGAGTATCAGAGAACTCTTTTAAAAACATTAAAATAAAGTTTTACTGACCACAGTAGCGTACATTTTTTGGTTTGTGATGGTGGCAGTGCAAAGCATCAGGAACATGTGTACTAACCACTGCACCATGGCTCAGCTGATATCTGGCTTGGGTTTTCTCTGAAGCATCTCAACTGTTCACTTTTTAACTTACTTTAGAGGATAGACTTTATTTCTGAACATACACAAGGTGAGTGTGCATGCGTGTGAGAGAAAACGACAGACCTTTAAAAACTTGAACACAGACTCTCATGTGAATAAATGCTAGACATTCACTGCTCATTCCTCCACTCCCGATCCATGTTTGTCAGCATGTTGAGAGGTTACTACTCAGCACAACTGACCCCATCACGCACACACAAAATCTGCAAACTCCTGCATTTCACACACAAACACACACATACACACACACAAGCTACCGGTGTCCCTCTCATCAACTATCTCTCATACACACCTGCTTGTGCCCTTCCCTCTTTACTGCTGCAGGTCATCAGGACACACTCAGCATCAGCCTAACAGTCACAAGCACAGTGTGTCTTCAACTACAGGCACTTTTATGTCCCATGGGTGATTTTTAATAACACCAACAGATTTTAGGTTTTTCAAATGCCTTTTCTATTCAATTATATTATATCATTATATTATTATTTTATCCTTGTAGATTTTCAATCTTAAAATACAAGTTAAAAATGTACAAATATGACATATTATTATTAGACTATTATAAAAACTATAACAATCTAAAAAAACTAGTGAAATAATTAACCATTTCAATATCTGTAATGTCAAAAAATATATTTTTTTTCACAAATTATGACTGTCCCTTAGTTGTGGTGTGATTTCAAAATCAACTGAAGTTCAGGGATCTGATTTGAATTTCTTATTCATTTAATCATGTTTTTACATGTGCAAAAGATTAAGAACAACTGTCTACAATTTGCACATGGCTTGCTTATCAAAAATGATGAGCTGATTCTCAGTAAAATGATTAAACTCTTCACAACTTCTAAACATTCTTTCACTGTGTGAGCCATCCCATGCAAAATGATCATTCAGTTACTTAAAATTTGTCAGACATACATGTATATTCCATAAATATCTATGACAGAATTTTTCTGATTACACGTAACACAAAATAAATGTACTATATACATATAAACGTACATATTACAATTGACTTTTCCCAGTAAACCACTACCTGCTATTGAAATCTAAGAAGCTCTGTGTGATACACAATAGCATTTAGCTGAGTGAAAAAGTAGAACAAAAATGACATTTCCAAGGATGACTGGCATGGTAAAAGATATCTACACTTTTTAAACAGCACGGCTCACATAATTAAATAATGGCCAATTGGCATTGGCCAATTTACTAATACAATAAATGAAGAATTACTTAAATGTTTTAACTGAGTTACTACATTTTGCATATACAGTATGCAATAGAGCTGTGATGTCCTACAAAACAATTGACAATTGCAGTTTAGAGAATGTTAAGACAAACTGAATGTTAAGCTTTACTTGAAAAGTAAACTTGAGTGATTGAGAAACACTGTAAGAGTTTATTTCTCTCCGAAGTCCAAAGGGCCAAAAAAGCCCATAGTTGAAGAAACACACAAGCTACATTTCCATCTCCCCTCCATCATCTGTATTTAATCACAGACTATGCTCATTTATTAGCTGTAATTCCTTCGTTCTGATTTTCTTCATATAGATGTAAACTCTCAAGAAATTATCAGAGGACTGAGGGGACTGTGTGCTGGACTGTCTCCAGCAGTGTGTCATCAGTGTGTAATATATTCATACAATCTCTGAGTCCCAGGTCAGCAGTCCACCATGAGTCCTTAAGTTCTCTGCAGGTCAAGGGCGTCCAGAACACGAGGAGTCACGTGACTTCAGACACACTAGATATACATACTACACCCTCTCTGTGGCTAAATGACTACTCTCATGCACCAAATGAGCAGCTAGTTTGAACACACGTTTGTCTGTATTCATCCCTAACACATTTATCATTGTAATAGTTTCCACCAAAATACCAATGTTACACATTTTTGTTATTACTACAATAAAACTACCAAACTAAGGTCAGCACACATGAAAAAGTACTATAGTAATTTATAGTAAATACTATAGTGTTTATGAACCATACTATAGTAAAGTACTTGAATTAATTTCTTGTGGTAATTCTATAGTTGCTGTGGTAATATAACAACTATAGTTGGTAACCAATACTGTACCAAGTTTTCTACAACTATAGGGTGTATTATACTACAATACACTACAGTTTACTGTAGTAAAAAACTAAAGTATACTATTTATTACAGTTTATCAGTTCACATTAATACTACAGTATGCTGTAGCATTCATTAACAAAGTGTTGTAAATACTTTAATATATATAGTATAATACACTTTAATATAGTATGGTTCAAAAACACTATAGTATTTACTATAAATTACTATAGTATTTTTTTCATGTAGCTGAGAGAACTGTCGCTACATCTTAGGTTTATCGGTCATGTATGTGTCAAAACATAACTCTGAAGTGTAAATGATTATAAAAGCTCTTTATAATATTTGTATATCACATGCTAATTTATTATCATTTCATAGTAATGGCTAAAAGTAACTTACCATGGTAACTTTTTTGTAAGGAGAGTTTCAAAACAGAAGTTAGATATCATAAAAATATCGGTTTACTGCACTCACAGGTTGAAACACTGGCCTTATTACAGCAAGTATACAATATAATAAAACACATAATAGAACTTTTAGTCTTGGCCATCACGAATAAAGCCCCACATCTGGAGGTTTAGGGTCTGCACATGTTTGAATAAGAGCTCTGAAAGCAGGTACTCACAGCGTGTGTCCGCACACATTCACCATCAGCTTCAGAGATGGGTTTCTGTATTTGGTCGTCTTGCACCTCGGGCATCCCTGATCATCCATTATTAGTGTTAATATCTGTTTTAGTCCGCCTGCAAATGAATAAACAGCAGTCAACACACTCCAGAGCGTATAGGAGTGTTACATTCAAAACCGCCGGGTGGAAACAAATATGTCTATTACAACTGTTCCTATTCAAACTGATCGAGTTTGTGAGCTCTGTCCAGCGCTGAGTTTCAGCGATGGATGGATGGATGGATGGATGGATGCATAGATAGATAGATAGATAGATAGATAGATAGATAGATAGATAGATAGACACTTTACCTTTGCATACCTTATGAAAATGTATCACCAGTTTTCTATTTTCCAATTTTCTTTCCTTTCTCTTTCTTGTTATTTTTAACTTGTCATTGTCATTCATAAATATATAAATTTGACACACACACACACACACACACATATATATATATATATATATATATATGTGTGTGTGTGTGTGTGTGTGTGTGTGTGTATATTCAGCCAGAATAATATATATATATATGCGTAAAGTTTTACGAAGTTAGACCAAGAACCTTTCAAACGGAGATTAAAATGGGTAAGGCTTGTCGTTTTGTAAATGTCTGTGTCGTTTGAAGTGTCGGTTGTATGAGTCTGGTAAGCTCAAAGTAAACACAGAAGCACACAAAAGCCTCGAATGAGATCTCACCAATAGCGCAGGTGAGCTGCTGGAGCGCGTCACGGCTGAGTGACAGCTTCATTTCAATGTGTTCGCCTCGAAGCTGCGTTCGCCCCGCCCCTTTCGAAATTTCGTGTAGCCAATCATGTGTGTCCCCCTCAAACTATCGGGCTGAGAAGTCACGCTGCTGGAGCGAAAGGGGAAAGCTATCCACTTACAAAGACACCCGATATCACTCGCATGGCGCACGGGTAACCTGATCAGCTTTGGGCAGAAACGAGGCGGGGTGACGGACTAAAGGAATCTGAGGTGAAGAATAAAAACAATGTCTGTTTCCTGCAGTGAAGTGACAGTGGCAGGCGAGATCAAAAAGGAAAATGTGAAGTGCACGGAGCCTCTCGAGAGCTCCACGGACAGTCGTGGGCACGTCAAACTCCTGACTCTGGACACTCCTGTGGCCACAGGGATGCTCGTCGGGCAGACCTCTCCACCGGAGCACAAGATGCCCACTATGGACTCTTTGTCTGCGCACACTTCATCCGCAGCAACCGCGACCTCTTTGGCTTTTTCACCGGAGCAGGTTGCGTGTGTTTGTGAGGCTCTTCAGCAGGGGGGCAACGTGGATCGACTCGCCCGGTTTCTGTGGTCTCTCCCGCAGAGCGACTTACTGCGCGGCAACGAAAGTATCCTCCGCGCTCAGGCGCTGGTGGCCTTCCACCAGGCGCGCTACCAGGAGCTTTACAGCATCTTGGAGAGCCACAGCTTCAGCCCTTCGTGCCACTCTGCCCTGCAGGACTTATGGTACAAAGGCCGGTACACGGAGGCGGAGAAGGCCCGCGGTAGACCTCTGGGCGCAGTGGATAAATATCGCCTGCGACGTAAGTTTCCCCTGCCCCGGACCATCTGGGATGGAGAGGAGACGGTGTACTGCTTCAAAGAGCGCTCCAGGAATGCTCTGAAGGACCTCTATAAGCAGAACCGGTACCCGTCCCCGGCCGAGAAGAGGAATCTGGCCAAGATCACAGGACTGTCCCTCACACAGGTCAGCAACTGGTTCAAAAACAGAAGGCAGAGAGACAGAAACCCGTCAGAGGCGCAGTCCAAAAGGTGAGAAAAACTAGAAAGCCACAAACACAAACTTTTTTCAGTGAATGAATGAATATAAGACGTTTGTCAAGAGATTTAATTGGTTTATTGACTAGACTGAGATACAGTAGTTAAGGCAAAGTTTTTTGAGAGGTCTTAGCATTTTATTATTGCTTCTAAAAAAGGTTTCTGCTTGTCTGCTTGTGTATTGTGACAACTTGTGAGCTGTTACCAGTCTTTTTACAATTAGACTCATCTTTCCTTTATTCTTAATGATCTTAAATTATAGAGAAAAAACATGCTTTGATCGGAACTTTAAAAGGCAGCTTCTAAAGGACGTGTGCGTAAAATGTATCGCGTGAGTCACCACCTCGTGTATGTGTGTGTTTATTTTTGAGTGAGTAGCTACTCGGGATCTATTGACGCGTAAGGTTCGCCCCACCACATTAATCACTCCCGCGCTCATGTACAGTTATGCAGGGAGTGAAAAGTAATAATTCAATATTCTCCCTCTTTCTTTCAGAGTACTTCATTGGTTATTTCTAGATTTGAATAGACATTTAGAGTTTTCTGTTTTAAAGAATGAATTAAAGTGAATATGGACACCTGGATTTGATCATTTTCAGACAGTTTAGAAATACTAAATAAGTTTGATCATTTGTCCAAGTATTTCTATCTTGTATTTTTACAATGAGCACAGATATACAATTTGCTTTCATTTATATTTTCATTTTCCAGTGGCGCAAATATGTTTTTTTTAATGATTTTGTGGACTCTCTCTGCATGTTCTATTGTTCAATTCACATTTATGCATTTAGCCGTTGCTTTTCTTCAAAGAGACTTTTATTGCTTTCAAGCTGCACATTCACATTTATTGCTTTCCCTGGGAATCGAACCCATGACCTAGCCGTTGCTAGCGCCAATTTTGCATTACCAAAACTTTTTCAGTTTGTGATATCTTATTATTTCAGTTGTGTGTATTAGGAAATTGTACAAAGTAATATTAACAATTAAAAGTGTTAAAATATAAAATATTTAATCGAAAAAAAAAATAGAAATCTAAGAATTCAACAGATTTACTAAATTACTTAAGTAGCTAAGAAGATTAAATAACTATACAGAATATAAATCTATTATAATGAGCAAAAGTGTAGGATGGAGACAAAAAGGAAGACAATCACCGTCTCTCATCTCTCTATCTTTCACGTTCTCTCAGTGAGTCAGATGGAAATCACAGTACGGAGGATGAGAGCAGTAAAGGTCAGGAGTCTCTGTCCCCGTGTCCGATGTCGACCTGCAGTGATGGGACTGTGGGTAATGCAGTTGTGTCTCTCTGCTCTGGAGCTCTGGAGGCGGGGGTCATCATCCAGCAGGTTGGAGACAGCAGGAACTCTGTCTCACCAGCATCTGTCATCTTTAACGGAGCCTCAGTCAACACTCCCACCTCTGTTTTCCACAATGGCACCCCTTCATTTCTCTCCACCACAGGACACGTCTTTTTCAGTGGCATGAACTTGGGACTCCAGTCCCTGGCTTGCAGATCAGCGGCAGATGTGGAGATGGATGGTGCAGGAGAGGATAAACCGGTAAGGGCAGACCCTGCACTGGTGTACACCTCGTTTCACTGCACTGTGAATGGGACAGACATAGAGGTGAAAGCAGAGAATGTGAGGCAGGATGTGTCGGTCCAGGACCAGACTACGTCTATTAGCTCAGCATTCAATGTGACTCCATCTGACAGCTTGCAGCTTGAAGGTTACAACTTGGTTTCTGAAGGCAATGGGACCTCGCTGCTCAGCAACAAGGTGGTACTTCCTTCGTTGCAACTCTCATCATCTTCTTCAACCTCATCAGGTGAGTCTCATCAAACATCACTCACGAGATAACATCAATCCTTTGAGCAAGATGAGAAGACCACAGGTGTGTTGTGTTTGTTAGGAGCGTCAAAGAAACTATTTTTAATGTTTTTGAAAGAAGTCTTTTATGCTCACCAAGGCTGCATTTATTTGATCAAAAATAGAGCAAAACTGTAATATAGTGAAATAATATTACAATTTAAAATAATATACTTTAAAATGTAATTCATTCATGTAATGGCAAAGCTGGATTTTCAGCATCATTACTCCAGTCTTCAGTGTTACATGATCCTTCAGAAATCATTCTAATATGATATGTATTTGCTGCTCAAGAAACATTTCTTATTATTATCACAGTTGAAATCGTTTTTTGTGCTGCTTAATATTTTTGTGGAAACTGTGATAAAAAATTTCAGGATTCTTTGTTTAACAGAAAGTTCAAAAGAACAACATTTATTTGAAATAAAAATCATTTGTAACATTATAAACGTCTTTACAGTCACCTTTGATTAATTTAATCCATCCTTGCACTGTAAGTCACAAAAAAAAAAAATCATAAAATGTCAGAATTTTCTCTTTTTTTGTGGTTTATGTTGTGGTCATTGACTCAACCAAATAATAATTGAATATGAACTGTATATCCTTATAATATCTGTATACCACCAAAAAAGTTTGAGAGCTTCATCCTCTCTCTCATCTTCTGTCATTTCTCATTCCTCTTTCTGTCATCTGTCATCTGTCAGGCATTGTTGATGGCAGTTCTCCTGCTCCCGCCTCTCTGTGCCACAACCAGGTGGAGGAGCAGGACAGGCTGCAGCTGACCTCTCTTGAGCCCAGCACAGCACTCTACGGCCTGGCTAGTGTACACACACTGTCTGCTGTGAAGAAGGAACCTATGGAGACTCCTGGTGGATACATTTACCACCTGGGTTACAGTCCTGACCCCACCCACAGCTCCCTCATCTCACTTAACACAACCATGACAACCACCCAACAAGACTACACCACTCTCACAGTGAACGCACCCTTACTCACCCAAACGGACCTTACTGGTGAGTTCAGAGGTCATGATGCCCAGATGACTTCAAACCTAAATGGAGACTTCCTCTGTGCGGTTTCAGAGGGAGGGAAGGGCGAGATGAGAGAAATGGAGGATGAAGGGGAAAAACAACTGACAAAACTAAAAACTGTGCATATAGAGGAAGAGATGACTGACCTTTGAATTTAAGTGGAGAAAGAGGTAAAAGACTTTTTACCAAAAGTCCCAACATTATTTTGAAATACTGATTGAGGGTTTTTTATGTTTTCAGCCTCTGAATATTTTGATGTTTTTTTTTTTTTAAGTATTAAATTATTTTGGCGAATCTGTCAGTTTGGTTTGAACAATCTATGCAAAGTCATATTTGGAGAACACAGTTTTTGAAAGTGTTATTTTTTTCCTTTTCCTCTTTCTCTCTATTTCCAGACACAGGTATCTTTTCAGCTATACTCTATAAGTATAACAGAGGTTTTCAAACTGGGGTCCAGAGACCCCCCAGAGGTCCACAAGAGAGGAGGTCCATAGACATGACATTATTATTGTTTTATTCTGGCTGAAAATCCAGAGATTAATTACAATGTTTAGTTTTATTGTTTTTAGTTATTTTATTCTTTGTTTCTCTACATCTAACAAAACTGATATGTAGAAAAAGGAAACAGAGTATCATAATAGAAACGGAGTATTTTCCAGATAATATTTTAAACACACTTAAATATATATTTTTATTTTTCATAGTAGAAATTGGGTCTTTATACACAAACATATATAGCTGCCTTTTATATTTTAGGAATGGTCTCCTTTGTTATGGGAATAATCATTTGGGAGTCAAAAAGTTTGAAAACCCCTGGTATATCAGAAGAATATTTTTTCCATATTTCCTCTAGGCCTATATCCCTTCCATCAATCATTTCATACTATTTTAAGTGTTTACATGCATTTTTGAACTACAAGTACCAGACAGCTCTCATTTTCTCTCTGTCGCTCCCTCTGTCTCTCTTCCTCTCACAGTGGGGTGTGTGGACGTATGTGTGTTTTATGAGAGTCACCTGCTAGTTTCTGCCAAGAAGAGTTGAGTTTAGCAGACAGGTGGGCATCCAGTAGTGTCATCTGAGTCAGACCTTAAAGGTCACCTCCCTATGGAAACACACATGCACAGACACACTTTATTCACATGCAGATTTAAAATACAAAATCTGTGACAATCTTTGTGGCATTGTCATGGACATTACATTGCCTACAGCTTCCAGTCGCATTACTAATAGGCAAATAATATGTAATGTAGACAATACAAATATAAATACAAATACACAATGTTTTTCTTATACAAATTAAGGGATGAGTCAGAATGGTGGACGGTAATCGAATGCTTGTCACAGATGCTGGAACAGATGTTGTACGACTGTCAAAGTTTAGGGTATTATCTGTGCACAAAATATGCTAAGAACTACTTGTTTTATTTGAAATGCAAACTGTTTTCAGACAGAAATGAGGGTAACTTAAATCTTCAGGTCATTCAAAATAGTGAAAGCAATTGTTTTCCTAAAGGATTTGATTAAACTTACCATCTGGGTCAGAATGGTGGACGGTAATCGAATGCTTGTCACAGATGCTGGAACAGATGTTGTACGACTGTCAAAGTTTAGGGTATTATCTGTGCACAAAATATGCTAAGAACTACTTGTTTTATTTGAAATGCAGACAGAAATGAGGGTAACTTAAATCTTCAGGTCATTCAAAATAGTGAAAGCAATTGTTTTCCTAAAGGATTTGATTAAACTTACCATCTGGGGTGAATGGGTGCCGCCAGAATGCAAGTCCAAAGAGTTGATAAAACCATCACAATATTCCAGAAGTTATTCACATGACTCCAGTCCATCAAGTAACATCTTTTGAAGTGAAAAAGCTGTGCATTTATAAGAAGCAATCCATCATGAAGGTGTTTTAACTTTAAATCGTTATGGTCAAAATACCAGTCCATAATCCATAATAACACTTCTTCCAGTGGAAAAACTCCAGCTCCTGTTGTCCTCTCACATCAAAATCCACTGACATATTTGTTTAGAACTGTTTGCACTTGTAAATGGTGCTTGATCTGTGCATATTTCTCCCCTAATTCAGACAAGATGGCTTTTTCACTATAAATAGAGGATTCATTTTGGTGAAAGCAATGGTTTGAAGTTAAAAATGTCTTGATGGATTTGTTTATTACAAACAAACAACTTTTCACATCACAAAAGTGAAATAATCGATTACTTGTGGATTATTGTGATGTTTTTATCCACTGTTTGAACTCTTAATCTGACGGCACTTATTCACTGCAGAGGATCCATTGGTGAGAAAGTGATAAAGTGCAAAATTTCTCCAAATTTGTTCTCTGTTCTCACTAACATCTTGGATGGAGGGTGAGTACTTTTTTTTTTTTTTAGCAAATTTTCATTTCGGGGTGAACTATTTCATTTTTAAGACCACAAAAACTCAAGCTAACCAACCAAGCAATTTCAGATCCCAAATCTTTTCTCTGAAATTTAGCTGAGAGAACTAGTTTGGATGCCAACCAAATCTGAATATACCATCATCTCGGCAATATTACTGGGAATCTTTCAGCATTGTAGTTCATGACTCCTTTCACCAAGTAGGGAAAAACAGGACAGGACAATAGAACAAGAGAGAAAAAAGGAAATAAGAGCATTGTCACCTGTTCCCAAACAGCCTAGGTGACCCGGTTGCCATGAGAGACAGCCAGGTATCAGATAACACCAGCTCGAAAAATGAATGCTTTGAGAGAGAAGAGTGTCGGTGAGAATTTATAATATGTGCTGATTTTGATCCCGTGCAATGGCTTTATGTCATATTTTGTCATTAACAACGTGTAAATAAAAAACCGTGATGGTGATCGAAACCACTCAAACATACCTCACACTGAGCAACAATAAGAAGTAGTAATAAAAATATGAACCTCTCAAACTGAGCCTTATTAAAAACTATGACCTCTCACCTTTGGGAAGAGCATTGTCACCTGTTCCCAAACAGCCTAGGTGACCCGGTTGCCATGAGAGACAGCCAGGTATCAGATAACACCAGCTCGAAAAATGAATGCTTTGAGAGAGAAGAGTGTCAGTGAGAATTTATAATATGTGCTGATTTTGATCCCGTGCAATGGCTTTATGTCATATTTTGTCATTAACAACGTGTAAATAAAAAACCGTGATGGTGATCGAAACCACTCAAACATACCTCACACTGAGCAACAATAAGAAGTAGTACCTCTCAAACTGAGCCTTATTAAAAACTATGACCTCTCATGGTTTGAAAGGAGGGGGACTTAACCCTGAATAGCAAACAGAGCTGGATTTGTAACCTGAACCTTCCCCCACGCCCCCACTAATGAGAGGTCAAAGGGCACACGCTGCTCCTCAGCTGTGTTTCATACCTGTGTGTGTGTGTGTTTCATTTACTGGTAAGGTTTTGATTATGTATATGAACCAAACCTACTGTGTGAGATTTGTAAGTGTGAATGTCAAATGTAAACGCAGAGTGTCAGATATACTTGCTGACAAATGTGAATACTTGTGTTTATTTAAAGCATTTTTCCTCAGTTTGAAGTCTAAAGTTTGCACTGAACAGATCAGTTCCAGGAGAAATGCCATTAAACTAAATAAGAAGTTGAACTTGAATTCTAATTCAACCTACCATAAACATAAATAATAACAAATTGTGTCATCAGACTTTCATTTCTTTGCCTTCTGGGATATGAAGCTGTCATTCATCTTTACTGAACTTTGACCTCTGTAGTCTTACACAATGTCTTTGGTATGCCTGCTTAGAGAGAGAGAAGGAGAGGTACAGAGGTGATTTTTTTCAGGCATACAGCACAAGTTTTGTGCAGTTACAGGCCACTAGTACTTTTCAGATATTGCTAAACACACGTCTCTGCAAACAGATACAGATACAGATTAAATTGGGGAACAATTCAAAAGGATGCAAATGCATTTCTTTTAGAGGTAGGGTTAGTCTGGAGTAAGTATAATTAAAATAAAACAGTGAAAGTGTTCCTCTCATGGTTTGAAAGGAGGGGGACTTAACCCTGAATAGCAAACAGAGCTGGATTTGTAACCTGAACCTTCCCCCACGCCCCCACTAATGAGAGGTCAAAGGGCACACGCTGCTCCTCAGCTGTGTTTCATACCTGTGTGTGTGTGTGTTTCATTTACTGGTAAGGTTTTGATTATGTATATGAACCAAACCTACTGTGTGAGATTTGTAAGTGTGAATGTCAAATGTAAACGCAGAGTGTCAGATATACTTGCTGACAAATGTGAATACTTGTGTTTATTTAAAGCATTTTTCCTCAGTTTGAAGTCTAAAGTTTGCACTGAACAGATCAGTTCCAGGAGAAATGCCATTAAACTAAATAAGAAGTTGAACTTGAATTCTAATTCAACCTACCATAAACATAAATAATAACAAATTGTGTCATCAGACTTTCATTTCTTTGCCTTCTGGGATATGAAGCTGTCATTCATCTTTACTGAACTTTGACCTCTGTAGTCTTACACAATGTCTTTGGTATGCCTGCTTAGAGAGAGAGAAGGAGAGGTACAGAGGTGATTTTTTTCAGGCATACAGCACAAGTTTTGTGCAGTTACAGGCCACTAGTACTTTTCAGATATTGCTAAACACACGTCTCTGCAAACAGATACAGATTAAATTGGGGAACAATTCAAAAGGATGCAAATGCATTTCGTCCTTTTTAAATAACATAAAATATTTGCTGACTATTAATTATTATTAATGTTATTAAAACTTATGATATCAATATATTAATGATATATTATTAATATGTGTAATTATTGTTTTTCTTTCTAATTATAATCTAACAAAAATAAGATGTGTAAATCGACAATTAAAAATATTTCGTATTTAGTTTCAAATATGTTATCTCTCATCGCCTGATTGTTTTTTTAGAATCTTTTAATGACTCAAACCTGTTTAAAGACAGAATTTTTTTAAGACAACGGAGACTGATTGTACTGTACTGTAAAATGCTATCGTTACAACATCATTTTTGTTTCCATCCTTATTTCTGTACTTTCTATACTCTAAATTCGCAGAGTTTCAGATGAACTGATCAGTGATTAAATTCAAAGTGCAAAAATGTGCACTGAAATTATCATTGCAGGTTGTGACTGGTTTTCCTTAAAAAATTTAAATCAGCAGCTACATGTAAAGTTTGACATTTTAGTGCTTAAAAATATTTAAAAATTTCGATTAGGATAGACTGTATTGTTATTTTCGTATATTTTGCAAGCATACAATCTCATCTCAGTTTATGTGAAAGAATAATAAGAATAAACTAGAATCTATTTTTGAACGTTTTGACGTTAAATCAAGGCCTATAAGTATGACTTTGTTGACATCTAATTACGAGCCCCAGTCGGTTAAAACTGTTGCGCCATCATTGCCTGATTGTTTTTTTAGAATCTTTTAATGACTCAAACCTGTTTAAAGACAGAATTTTTTTAAGACAACGGAGACTGATTGTACTGTACTGTAAAATGCTATCGTTACAACATCATTTTTGTTTCCATCCTTATTTCTGTACTTTCTATACTCTAAATTCGCAGAGTTTCAGATGAACTGATCAGTGATTAAATTCAAAGTGCAAAAATGTGCACTGAAATTATCATTGCAGGTTGTGACTGGTTTTCCTTAAAAAATTTAAATCAGCAGCTACATGTAAAGTTTTACATTTTAGTGCTTAAAAATATTTAAAAATTTCGATTAGGATAGACTGTAGGATAGGATATTCGATTATTTTCGTATATTTTGCAAGCATACAATCTCATCTCAGTTTATGTGAAAGAATAATAAGAATAAACTAGAATCTATTTTTGAACGTTTTGACGTTAAATCAAGGCCTATAAGTATGACTTTGTTGACATCTAATTACGAGCCCCAGTCGGTTAAAACTGTTGCGCCCGTATAACTATTAGCTATCTACAGTACATAGTACATAACTGAAATGAAGTCGAATTAATGTCGATATCATTAGATTCAACAATACAAAAGGTTATTCTCTCTCAAGGCCAATGACTTCAAGTTCAACTGGCAGAAGTAAGAGCTCATGTATTTGCACATTTATGAATTATTATAGGTATTGTTGCTTGTGTAATTTTTGAATTAGTAAATTGAAGTCAAAAACAATTTATTAGACAATTTCTGAAATGTGTGACTGAATTAAATAATAAATATTCAGAAACGTATGTTTTTCTGCATCTCCCGTTCAGCATCTTTGACTTTTAAATCCGTCACCAAACTTTCACACAATTAACAAGCTGTGAAAATGCCACCTAATTAGGAGCACACAGTGGTCATGATCAATTACAGAATAGGTTACATAACTGAAATGAAGTCGAATTAATGTCGATATCATTAGATTCAACAATACAAAAGGTTATTCTCTCTCAAGGCCAATGACTTCAAGTTCAACTGGCAGAAGTAAGAGCTCATGTATTTGCACATTTATGAATTATTATAGGTATTGTTGCTTGTGTAATTATTGAATTAGTAAATTGAAGTCAAAAACAATTTATTAGACAATTTCTGAAATGTGTGACTGAATTAAATAATAAATATTCAGAAACGTATGTTTGTCTGCATCTCCCGTTCAGCATCTTTGACTTTTAAATCCGTCACCAAACTTTCACACAATTAACAAGCTGTGAAAATGCCACCTAATTAGGAGCACACAGTGGTCATGATCAATTACAGAATAGGCTACCTATTAATGTCTTTAACTTAAAGCAGTAGTAATATAGCCTATTTGAAGTACCTAAACTGTGATATTAAGAAAAACGGAAGACGACATAGATTCTGCATGCAAGGTTGTGGAGGTGCTTGTGATAATTTAATAATTGATTAGTAGCCTATCAACTGCAGTGTGAGTGAGCATGTGTGTGTGTGTGTGTGTGTGTGTGTGTTCAAGGTCTCCAGTTTCAGGCCTTGACGTCCGCCCTCCGGGGAGGAAACGGAACGGATCTGTAGATGCAGTTCTGCTCTGCTGGCCGGTTTCAGAACAGACCGGGGCGAACTAATCACGGAATGACGCTGTGCTGGGTTTCTCTGTCATATATCCTTAAGGACAACCCGCATCCGAATCTCACGTGTGCAACCCCGGAGGGTGACAGTGGTGCCACACAACCGGATAACAGGCGGTTATCAAAATTGGAGCTGCAGCAAGAGATAAACGTGGCACGGGGATTTTTGTCAGAGGACTCATTTGAGAGGAATACATACAGAGCCTCGGAATAGGAGGGTATTACGTGGTGGACTGCGCCGGGCCGCAATGTCAATCTTGCCCTCTTTCGGCTTTACGCAGGAGCAGGTCGCGTGCGTCTGCGAGGTGCTGCAGCAGGGTGGAAACCTGGAGAGGCTCGGACGTTTCCTTTGGTCCCTGCCAGCCTGTGACCACCTCCACAAGAACGAATCCGTGCTGAAAGCGAAGGCCTTGGTGGCCTTCCATCGGGGAAACTTCCGTGAGCTCTACAAGATCCTGGAGAGCCACCAGTTCTCCGCGCACAACCACCCGAAGCTGCAGCAGCTGTGGCTGAAGGCGCACTACGTGGAGGCGGAAAAGTTGCGGGGCCGCCCGCTAGGCGCTGTGGGCAAATACCGCGTGCGCAGGAAATTTCCTTTGCCCCGTACGATCTGGGACGGTGAGGAGACCAGTTACTGCTTTAAGGAGAAGTCGCGGGGCGTGCTGCGTGAATGGTACACGCACAATCCCTATCCATCTCCACGGGAAAAGCGGGAGCTGGCGGAGGCAACGGGACTGACCACCACACAGGTCAGCAACTGGTTTAAAAACAGGAGGCAGAGAGACCGGGCAGCTGAGACAAAAGAGAGGTGAGATATAATTAGAATAATAAATACATATAAAAAATTATACAGGTACACAGCCTGCCGAATAAACGTTTCCAAAAAAATAACGCGCAGATTTAGCGTTGATTATTGCAGTCACTTGTAGAGAACAACAATAGCCTATTTGAGGAATGTATCGTTATATCAGAAATATTACATTATATTATTATATTGACACTCAAATTTAACTGTAAACACGAATCTAAACCAACATCAAGTTACACTGTCTAAATTGATCATTTGTAGCCTATATTTGTAATTTATAATTTGTAATTTAATACTTTATATATTGCCTAGCTATTTTTATTTTTATAATTCAGTTAGGATTTTAAAAGAAGATTCTTTTTGTTCTAAAGAACGAAACAAGAGCAGAAGACGAGAAAAAAATTCATATTGCAGTGAGAATTTTTTTAGGCCTGTATTCATTTTATTTAATTAGCCTACAGATTTTAAATGTTAAAAGTTCATATAAATAGGCCTAATGGTTTACTTTGAATTATATTCTCTAAAATCGTCTATCGTAAATCTGTGATGACAGTTATCTTTTCAGTCATGTTGACATAAAGACGAGGTACACTGAAGCGTAAACAGTTGGATTTTTTTTTTAACAAAGCAAACATCAAGCATTAGATTTTTTCTTTAGCTAATAATTATTTTAAGATTAAACTATTTTGAAACCATAACATGCCTATTAAAGTCTATCACTTTCTAATAGGCTACATTCTAGGCCTGTAACATGTCAATTATATATAATATGTTACTAATGTAATATTCACCCAACAGAGAAAACAGCGAGAACAACGGCGTTGGCGGTAAGCAGAGCCAGCGGTCTCCGCTCGACGGAGTGAAGTCGCTTATGTCCAGCTCGGAGGATGAGTTCTCTCCGCCGCAGAGCCCCGAGCACAACTCCGTGCTTCTACTGCAGGGGAACATGAACACTCCCGGGGCTTCCGCATACCCAATGCCCGGCCTCGGTGCACAGCACTCGGTGCATAGCATGCAAGGACATCCGCATCAGATGCAGGATTCACTGTTGGGATCTCTAACATCCAGCCTTGTGGATTTAGGATCTTAGGACGTCTCGTTCATATTTTAAGCGACAAGACTTAACCCCATAAATAACCAATATTTACAGCGTTTGAGTATACTGGACAAGTGCGTAAAAATTGTTAAACCAATGAGGCCAATATTTAAGAATATTCACAGTATTGTTGGATACACAAACCTTTAATAATTTATGATGTTTTACTCAAAGATTAATTTATAGAAATTGTTCTGTATTTGGACAGTACGAATAGCAGGGATTTTTAATGAGAAAATCATTGGCTTCAAACATCTTAAACTAAACTCTATGGATGTGGAAACTTTGTTTCGTTCTTTTCTATTTCGTTTAAATATTGCACTACATTTTATTTGTAGTTTTGAAAACAGAGGTTCTCCAACATTTTTTTAATCACACATTGTCCACATTTTAAGTCAAGTCAACGTTTTGATCATTTGTCTTTGACTTGGAAAAGCCTGTTAATCAAAATAAAGAAAATCAGGAAACTATACAATAAATAAACACAAAGGTTCAAAATAATAAAAAATATGTCAATCCACGTGACACGTCCGAGCCGGAAGAGGGCATGAGCGCGTGAAAAATGAGAACGCCTGAAACATCAGACCCCAGTGAGGCCCTTTTGCAGAGGGCAGAGAGACGCCAAGAGGCGCCAGGCTGCGCGCAGGGCCGAGGTTAACTTTTTGACCGTTATTCAGTAAAACAAAAATTAAAAAAGGTCCAAAAACGGGCACACTGAGTCACTTTAAGTCTCGTAACATTAAGTTTGATAAACATTTATTAGTTCATTACGCTGTCGGACTTAACAAAAATGAGAGAGAATGGAGACAGAGGGAGAAAGGGGGAGTATTGCTCATTTTCTGTTCTGTCAGTTCTGGGCCACTGAAAATTGACACGATTCGCAAGAGCGGCTATAAAGACCCTCCACCCAAAACGCCTCGTCCACCAAAAACCACTTCAAAACATTGTCAACCCCATTTGAAACAATCGGGAACTTTTGTTTCTTTTTTTAGTAAAAACTCCAGACACGGACAACAACTGAAATTTCAAACAAATGGAAAAACTGAAGATTAAAACATTTTTAAGAGAGAGAACTTAAATAGACAATATATTTCCAGCTCCGCATATGAAAACCAACATTTCTGGAACATTCTGCAATGTGAAATTCGCCTCTTTCTGTCTCTTTTACGTCGATAGTCTCGTGTCAGTCTAAATGGTTTTGAACAGAGAGCGCAGAGGGTTTCCGGGCCCTAATTAGAACCATTCTCTGGGTTTAGAGGGGCTTGATTGCAGGAATGAGAGGGACACCCTTCCAGCCTCAAGCCACAGGGTGCTGCACAACAGAAATGTACCTTCAGGGCAATGTATCTTCGAGTCTATCTATCTATCTATCTATCTATCTATCTATCTATCTATCTATCTATCTATCTATCTATCTATCTATCTATCTATCTATCTATCTATCTATCTATCTATCTATGCAGATTTGAAAAGCATATTCAATATTCATTGTCACTTTTAACAATACATAAACCATAAACACAGGCAATTTTTTTTCTAAATATCTTTAAAATTGGGAATAAATATCATATCGTGCCTGACTTAAACTGAGGAACCCAGAATTCTTCCACCAATAAGGCCAATGGTGGGCATGAATGTCAGCTGTGGTTTTAATCAACAGTCTAATTATATTTTGCACATATAAACATTCCTTACATCTGCTGCTATCCTCATATTGGTAGTTTATACAAAGCCAGAAATTGAGAAATCCAGATAGAAAAAGGTTTCTTTTGATTTTTGTGTTGGTGATGTGGCCAATTCTGTTTTCTCAACCAATTGGTGGACATAGTTTGGTAACAGAGTAAACGTTTAAAAAGGCTTTGAATCAGACTTTCATTTTTCATGATAATCAAACCCCAAACAAAGTGTCATTATTAAATGTCTTTTTGTTTACGTTTTCACACTGAAGTTTCTTTATCACATCGAAGGGAAAACATAAGCTAAAAGCATCCTTACACTATTACACAATAAATCTCAAACGATTGGTTGACGTCAATATATTAAATGTTAGAAATTGTAAAAAGTTCAATTTTTAAATTAGAAATTAAAAAAATGTTCTGTTTATTTATGCCATGTACGGTAAAATAAATAAATAAATATGGGACTACATAGAGTATTGATTAGATTCTGATGTCAGAAGTTCTGCTTCCATTCTCTGGCACAGACAAAATGCTGTGAAATACTTCTGGTTTGCCACCGGTACAATGTGACAGTCAGTCTCACACACACACACACTATAGGATCTGTTTGTCAGATAGCTTCACCTGCACAGGTAGTCACTCATCCAGAACTCTCAAGGAAACTGACCCTTAAATGGGTTTTTGGGGGAGGGGGGCTGCACTGAAGGAGCTTTTAAAGTGAGTCTCAAGAGAGCTAGAAAGAGGGGGATTCAGTTACCAATGATGCATGGACCTGACAACACTTCAACCAGCTAGACCCCCGACAAAGACTAACATGTGTTTGTGGGAAAGGGATATGGGCGATACATCAGTTTTGAAATCCACTTTTCTGAAGGTCACTGAAACTGAAGCAGCCATTTCTCACTTACAGTACTTTAGTAGGACACACACACACACACACACACACATATATATATATATAAGCGGTTTTAGTTTGGAAACATATATTTTCCGATTTGTACATTCTATTTTATTATCTATAGCTATTTTATTTTTGTATGCCCTTTTGTTTTGTTAAATAAATAAATATGAAATATTTTATAACAACAACTATAATAATAATAATAAATACATTTAATAATGTTACAAAATATTCATTTTTATAAATTAATATCAGTTCTTTATAGCATCTTTGCATTAAAAAGATGCATCTTTAAAAACAAGCCCTATCACAAAAACTAGAATTAATTTTGGCAGCTCTTTCAGGCTTGGAAGCATTAAGCCAAAGTTTCACTCCCCAGAGAGGGAGAGAGAGAACAGGATAAAACTCTAGATGACTCCATTAAAGAAAAAACTCAGGAAATGAAAACAGAAATATGATAGCTTCCTGTTTTTCATTGGGACTTGGAGCATTCTCTTTTTGGGGTATAATTACTACAATGAGATCAGTGTGGTATAGTCCAAAACCTTAGACACACACCACAGACACCCTCATCTTGTAGTCTAATCCAGGTTTCTCTGGCATGCTGCTGCTGGCTGACATTCCAGTGGCAATTTTTGTCTCTCTGGATCACAGTGATCTAGATTCACATTGATTATGGAATTCCGGTAAAGTCCAGATATCAGCGGGAGAATTGGACAGACTACACAAAACAGTTTCCCAACAGGCATTACAAAAGGGTTTCTCTCTCTTCTCTTTTCACTTTACTCTTTAGCTATGCGAACATTTCTGTGATCAATTATGTAGCTAACATAACATAACAAACATCAACATATAAAATTTCAATGAAGAGACTTCCAGAGCAGACTGAACTATTTTCCTGATAAAACAGGAGGGGATTCAAGAGTATCCACACACACTGTTCCCTTATTTGTCCATCACACACATGCCTTGTACACTTTGTTTTGCTAACACATTGACTCTGTGGTCTTGACTCATTATCTCATTAGCAGAAGCTGGAAAGAATCATAATTACTGTGGCTGGAGGGTTATTTACCACAGTGGCTCTTCTGCCCTCTGGTGGTAATTTTAGGCACCACAAAACACAAGCAAGTGTTTAGACATTTGTTATTCTATTTCACAGAAAACAACAGATTATATGTTAAAAAAATTAAGTAAGTTAATATATATCTTTAAAATACTCAAATGAAGAGAGACTACGGGAGAAATAGGGCTATGATTAATGCAAAGAAGGTCATTTCATGCGTAGCGACAATAATAGAAAAACAAGACACAAGAAACAGCAAAGAAAAACACCTTAGATATACAAACAATTACAGAGCGGTTGCACACATGTCTGTGAATGCTGTATGTGTATAAGTTCTTTAATGGCAAAGCATAAAAGTTGTGATATTGGAGAATGAACTGTAGACTGGCTAGATATGAACTACTCTCAAGAAGAGCATGTATTTGGTATTTGTCTCCCCCTAGCGACTGATACGAGGTATTGCATTATAAAAAAGATTACTACACTTGTCAACGCACTCTCATCTACTTATTAGAAAGTTTTATACAGCGTTTAATTCCGCAAACTAATCTGTTTTCATTTCAGTAACGTGGTAATTTGAATGACACTGACGTGATCTCAATATGTCGACATACTTGATGTTGAATAAAACCGCATTTTCTAGAAGACAAAGAATCTAGAGCCTTCATCTTCATTTCCCCATAAACAAAACATCTCCACTCCAATATAGCATGTATGACACGACACCCATATGTACCAGCTGCGCCAGCCTAGGCCTTTATCTATTAGACTAATTCATTGTGCATCCATTGTAGGCCTAGATTATGCATTTATTTAACATATCATTGTTTTAAATCAAAATAAGAAGAATTCTGGTATTGTCACATTTTATAGAGTGTATAAAGTGTAGTTGACCTGCAGGATTATGTGTAGGCTACTTACTGTACGACGGTTATCACGTAGCCTAAGTTAAGGTGTTTTAGAGTTGCCAGCACTGTGCCTGTTTCACTAGGTTGATCCAGATGGATTGTTCCTGCAGTAAAAATACTGCTAATCGACATGTTAACTGAAGAGCAATGAGATGAGATGATCATGTTCGGTTAAAATGCTCACGGTCTTGCTCAAGAAGCTCTAGTGTATTGGGAAGCTGTCAAGATCCGAGACTAAAGCTTCAGATCGAGCACAATTACTGGCTCACTATCGCTTTTCAATAACGCTCATGCTAGTTTTCTTCTGACCGCTCTTATGTGACATTATTTGTCTACTACATTTTTTCTGACTGCAAGTGACGACAACCATCTGTCAAAACAACATGTAGGTATTTATCTCTAATAAATGTCTCCATCATTGCACATGGATTTCAATTCGCATTCGTTTTCTTTAAGGACGGTTCTTGTTTAAAGTTGTAAGAGGCCGCG